CAACTTGACAGCGAAGACGTTGTGCCTTGAACTACAGTCTACCACCTTCTATGCAGACAGCAAGGAGATGTCAAGCTACATCTACAAACAAAGCAGACATTTCTATGTCTATGTAGGTAACAGGATGAGAAGAGTCGAAACATCTTTGAGCCCTGAACAATGGCAACATGCGCCAACAGGTAACAACTTTGTGAACCAACCAAAGTGGCCCAACCTTGCCACACTGTTCACAGAATTGACCTGGCTACAAAGTCCTGAGCTCTTGGTCTGCTCAAAAAGACAAAGGCCACAGAGACCAAAATGCGATGTACCTTCAACTCCAGATCAACGTGCCAACCTCCAACTTCAGGCACCCTGTAAACGTCAACCAATCCGCTTCAAACCCCTGACTAAGCGGAAGCACCTGAGATTAGGCATAGTTCTGATCATCTCGATCACTTGTCTTAGCATCCCAAGAATGAACTTTACAGGAGTCTGCAAGGACTTAAAGACTATTGAAGACATTTGCCATGACCCAGTGATTGACAAATGCCTGACAGCCAAAAATTGCCTTCCCCATACATCTCACATGGGTGAAGCGCGCATAGGCGAAGCGTGGGAGCACATGATTGGTGTACCCCGCGAAATCATGGACTCTATGTCGTTAAAGACACCCACACCCACACATGAAGTTCTCACTACCCTGATGACAACAGTAGCAGCCATCTTCAATGCTCCATCGGTGGTTCCAGATACCTCGGTTCCTGAGTATCCTGAGTCTTCTGCAGTTCCAGCTGTTGTTCCTGATCCTTCAGTTCCAGCTGTTGTTCCTGATTCTTCAGATCCAGCTGTTCCTGAGTATCCAGCTGTTCCTGTGTTTCCAGATCCAGCTGTTCCTGTGTTTCCAGATCCAGCTGTTCCTGTTTTTCCAGGTTCTTCAGTTCCTGAGTATCCTGTGAATCCAGTTCCCTTTGTTCCTGAGAAGCTTTGGGTTCCGGTTTTTATGTTCCAGATTTGGTTCCAGTTTCCTTTACAGGAAGAAGACCTTGTCTCACTTAGAGTCAAGAACGCACACCAGACCCACCCAGCGGATGAACCACTTTGCCAAGCTGACTTTCAGATCGTGAAGCCACGTGAGTCAGGTCGTGACTCAAAGACACTTGTACCAGGCTGATCTCCGATTTGGCACCGTAGCTGATGAAGACTGAACCAGAAGATAAAACCTCAAATGATGTATTGTGTTTATGCATTGTTTGATGAAACACTTGCTTAGTTTTTTGCATAATTGTGCATGCTTTATATTTACCAATAGTTATGCATGTTTTGATACCAAGTTTTTTACCTATGTAGTCACAAGTTAGTCAACATTGAGTACTGTATACTTTAATGCTATATTTTTTTTCATATTCAGTTAGTAAATAGTGGAAATATAAATTTCCAAGCGGGGAGTATTCTGGATCATCATAGATCCATGTTCCTTGTATAGCTCTATCTAATCCTAACTAGGGAGCAAGGGTCAGGGGGTGGAGCTTCCAAAGGGCATCCCTGGACACTAGCCTGGGGTTAGTCCTTTTGTTCTTGGGCATCACATCCAGCCACACGGCTGGAAATCCCTCAATCACCCCACCATGTGACGCTTGGGAGAAGAGGGGAAAATCTAATGTCAATTTACCTGTGGGACAATCAAATTGCAGAAACCTATTTTGGATGCACCTCTACAAACTGTAAGTCATTGTTTAGGATTCCCAGAATAAAGCAATATTTTCTGTTTGTTCCTCTGAGTTATCTATCTGTTCCAGACTGAAATAGAG